GTAGTAGTAGTAGTAGTAGTAGTAGTAGTAGTAGTAGTAGTAGTAGTAGTAGGAGTAGTAGGAGTAGTAGTCTTAGCAGTAGTAGTAGTAGTAGAAGCAGTAGTAGTAGTAGTAGTAGTAGTAGTAGTAGTAGTAGTAGTCGTAGTAGTAGTAGTAGTAGTAGTAGTAGTGGTATTAGTGGTATTAGTAGTAGTAGTAGTAGTAGTAGTAGTAGTAGTAGTAGTAGTAGTAGTCGTTGTTGTCGTTGTTGGTAGTAGTAGTAGTAGTAGTAGTAGCAGTAGTACTAGTAGTAATAACAGTAGTAGTTGTTGTCGTTGTTGTCGTTGTTGTCGTTGTTGTTGTGGATGCTTGTGCTGCTGTTGTTGTTGTTGCTGCCGTTGCTGTTGTTGTTGCTGCTGCTGCTGTTGTTGTTGTTGCTGTTGTTGCTGTGGTTGTTGTTGTGGTGGTGGTGGTTTTGGTGGTTGTTGTTGTGGTGGTTGTCGTTGTCGTTGTCGTTGTTGGTGTTGTTGTTGTTGTTGTTGTTGTTGTTGTTGTTGTTGTTGTTGTTGTTGTTGTTGTTGTTGTTAGTGGTGCTGTTGTTTCCCCATACGTAAGTAATAAGCATTGACGCTTTGCGTATCCCCACCAGCCCATCCAGAAACGATGCCCATGAGAGCTGACGGGGGTAGAGAGGAACATAAGGTTTTTGAAAGATGTTGGCCTCTTGGCAGTCTCCTGGGGAGGCTCCGTGGCCATCTTGAGCCGTCTTGGAGCGGTCTTGGGGCCTCTTGGGGCATCTTGGGAGCCATCTGGAGCCAGCTTGGAGGTCATCTTGGGCTCTCTGAGGCCGCTTAGGGGCCACTCGGGGACCTCTTGGGGGCCTCTCGGGGGCCTCTTGGAGCCTTCTTGGGGCCTCTTGGGGCGCTCGTGGGACCTGTTTGGGGGCCTCTTGGGAGCCCTGGAGGGCCTCTTGGGGCCATCTTGCAGGCGGTCGGTCAAAAGAGGGGGGGGGGGTCCTAGACTTGCGTCCTCCGCTCGGGAGCCACGATCCTCGTGATGGGGTGTCAAATGCTGGCCCTCCCACTGGCCGAAAAAGGGAGCCTCCGACACCTCGCGAAACCTCCCAAAAACCGGAGGGAGGGGAGAGGGAGGGTTCCCCTCCCCGAAGGGAAGAGGGGTTGTGGACGAGGAAAGAGGCCCTCCTTAGACCACCTGTCGCCCAGAGGGCTGGTGGGATGATATCTGATCACCCCTCCAGTAGCCATGCTATTTTTTCAATTAACGTGCTTCTCCCGTAAATGATGG